TCTCACCTGTCCGCTCCCGGACAGAATCACTTCGACGCCCAGCGCCACCTTTTCGCTCACGATGGCGTGGTCCCGGTCGTGGTTGATGAAGCCCTCCTTGCCGCCGACGAAGTTGACGACCCAGCGCAGAAAGGGGGACTGCTTCGCCTTGGGGGCCTCCCACGAGGGGTGCATGTCGTTGAAGCGGAGCACGTCGATGCCCCCGACCTTGGGCACCGTCTCCGGGTCCCAGTAGTAAATGGACGTGCCTTTGATCTCGACCCCGTCGTGGATCCAGATCAGTTCGACGTCCTCGAGCGTCGTGGCCCGCACGGCGTGCGGCACGCCCACGGGGATGTAGATCAGGTCCATCGGCCCTGCCCGGTGGATGTGGCCCAGCCCGTCATACCCTTCGAGCTCGCCGCGGAGGACGAGGTAGATCTCGACGATGCTGTGCGTGTGCAGGCCCTTTTGGCGGTTGCCCGCCAGCAACTTCATGTACCCGACGCAGATGTTCTCGCTGATCAACGACTGACCCAGGCTCGGGTTCACGTACCCCTTGGGCCCGCCCACCCAGCTGATCAGCCAGCGCAGAAAGCCTCCCTCTGTGGCCCCCGGGGTCGTCCACTTGGGGTCAAGCCCGTCAAATGGTATGATTGTAGGGCCATCAGATCCGAGTTTCTTGACAATCCCGTTGGTCGCCATTGTTTTTTTTTTTTTTTTGGTTTTTTTCCAGGAAATTGTTGGTAATCCCGTCGTGTTTTGTTGTATAGAATCGCTTTTTGCACTATACCACACTTGACGGGTTGAGAAAGCTTCAAGATATCTTTTCTTTTGGCGTGAATATATCCTGGACCAAAGTTTCCCGAGGAGACAATGAGAAGAAAACGGGGAAATTTTTCTAGGTGGTCTTCTTCTGGGCCCGATGCATCTTTTTGAATGGCTGTATGTCTTTCCGAGCGACCAACGTCCATCCTCTTCGGAACTATGGCGGAATTCGGCTCATGTCGAAAGAAGTGTCAACTTCCTTCACCCAGTTCACGTGGATATGCGTTCTGTCTCGTACTTTCCGATCTCCTTGCTCAGTTTTCAAAATGATTTTTTTTTTTTGGTATTGTTAACCGGGACATGTATATTTGTAGCTATTTCCTGGTACCTTCGGCGATATAGACCCAAGGTATGCTATGTATGTAGACACAACCTTCTCTTTTTTTTTAAAAAAAAAAAAGCTGCACTAGAGCATGATAAAATCTCCAATTTTGGGGTTTACCGTGTTGCCGTGTTGCCTTGTCCAAACGTTTCTTCGCTACTCATTCTCCAGGCGAACAGCTCGGTCGTTGGACTTCTTCTTTTGTTCTACGTTCCTGGTGCACAGCGACGCGATGATGGCCGCACCTCCAAAGGCGATGGCTACCTTGTATGTCAAGCTGAATGCGTCCACATACGCATATTTGACGGCCAGCTGGCAAGCAGATATGATATTGGCGGTGATGCCGGGAACGGCTTCGTAAGCCGCCTCGGTATTCTTGATAGCGGCTGCGAGGAGAGCGGATGTGGACCCTTGGAACCCGGTCGCGGCTGCGACATCGGCAATGTGACCTGGTATCTCCTCTGAGAATTTGTTGGTGTAGATGGCTACATATATTGCACTGGCGACCGCACCGCCAAGGAGACGAGAGGTGCTCACGAGCCCAACTGCAACTCCGCTGTTGTACAGTGTCAGCTGGGGGACGTGAAAACAGAAGGAACATGACTAAAAACCTACATGTCGGTTTGATCTTCGATACCAAGTGACACCATGCCAAAGGCTATCTGGTTCACGCTGGATGCCGCAGCACCGGCAATGAGAAGGAATGCAATCGCTTTGCCTTTCTCGTGGATCTTCAGGCTTGAGAAGCCGCCGATAAACGCAGTCTGGAGGCAAGCAAGACCGATAAGTTGCCATTGTTCATGGCCAACCCAGGGCATCACGGCCATGCAGTAAATCGCGGCAACCATGACAGCAAAAGCCGACATGTTCGCATAAAGACCCCGAAGGATAAGGTCGTCGGCCGGGACAAAGAGAAGCGTCGAGATCCGGGGCCAGAGGCTGCACGAGTCTCAGCACAATCACAATTCGCATTTCGGAGGGGGTAACTTACACAGCGTTGCTATAGTATAGCATACCACCCACAAACACGACTGCAAGAACGGCGGTGAAGCTAGTTCCACAGTTACCATCTCAGCACATTTTAGTTCGGAGGGAGGTCACTAACCTGCGCCATTGTCGAAATAGTTTCGGGGGCAATATGGGGTACTTCAGGTCGGCATACACTTCCCAAAATCCGAGGGCGATGAGAGATGCTCCTCCGATCACAATGGGCGCGATACACGCGGCACTCTTCCAGGGGTGCAAAGAGCCACCCTGTACTGGGCATTAGTATACAACGCGGTGTCTCATGGGTGGATACGTACCCAGTTGATTCCCATGAGGATGATGGCACATCCGGCTGAGAACAAGACAAGGCCGACATAATCCAGCTCGGTCAGTAGCTGCAGCTTTGTCTTATGGTCGACCTGATGTTTCGTCTCAAAGGAAGGTGGGTAGTAAAAGAGGAAGAGGAGGATGGCCGAAGAAACTTCCCAGGAAAAGCACCACCAGTAACAGGCGCGCCATCCAATGGAAGAATGTGCAACGAAGGCGTACGCAATGAGCGCACTGAACTGCGCTGGCATGTTGGAGACCTCCAAACAACCTAGGACTCTGTCAGACACAGTGGGCGGATCAGGAAACTAGATATACGCACCCAGAAGGAAGAAGCGCTGACGATTTGGGACCAGCTCCTGCACCGCTGAGAAACACATCTCCTGGAAACCTCCTCCGATGCCAAAGAGGATACCGCTGGCAATCATGGTCGGGATGTTTTTGGCCGTAGCACCTACAATGGCACCAATAACACCGATGCAAGCTCCTGTTATCAGAAACCATCGACGGCCAAAGATGTCGGCAATGCGGCCACTCGTCGTGACGAGCACGGCTGCGCAGAGGTTCCACCTAAGAGCGCAAGTCAACTTCCACGGACAGACCGAGACGGCATGGGTTCTTTGACATACGAGACTGTGATCCAGATGTAGTTTGAATCAGGGCCGAGGTCTGCATTGATGAAGGCAAGGATCGCCGGCGGCATGCTCAACGTGAAGAGATATGAATTGTATTGGAACATCAGTGTCTGTGGTTTTCTGCATTAGCCTTCCCATCTCACATCTCAGACGCCATTTTCATTCCCCTCACAAGAATTGCCGCGTAAGTCTGCCACGAAAGCGGTTCCGGCTTTGTGTTGGTGTTGTTGACCTCGACATCTTCTACAGTGGAAGACTTCACCACATCCGAGACTTCGGTTTTCTCAGTTTCAAGAACCGTAGATTCCATGTCTGGGACTTTGTTATTCTGGCTCAGGCCGAATGCCATTGTCATCGACTGGTCAGACGCAGCTGCGGGTGCGTAGCAATTACAGGGAAGCGAAGACCTGTCGGACGACAGTCCCAAACCAAAGCTTTTATCCCTAGCTGAAGGTTTGATGGGCCATTAGACGGACGAAGGCTGTCGTATGTTTTGCAAAGGCTCAGTCCCGAATTTATTGCCGAATCCCGAGCCCATGTTCCGTACCAAGCCCACAATTGTTGCGTGCTCCCAGAACATTTTGTTGCGCTTTCTAAATGTCTGAACCTCCAAAAATGGACGAGTTGAAAGGTTTAATGTATATTCTTTATAATGTTTAGCTGTATCGAGCAAAGCACAGCCTCGCAGGGAAACGCTGGCCTATTGTATGGTCTTGGTGGTATCTCAGTCGTTGCTGACTCGCAGTAGTGGTGGTAAGTGAACGATGTGGTGACGTAGCCCTGGTTAGCTGCTTAGCAGTGGGCCTTGGACTCGAGGCTAGCCTATTCTAGCAAGTTACCATACTGGAGGACTGGATCGTGGATTTCTCCGCCATCCTTCTCTAATGTGGTGAATGACTATAGCTATACGGTCTTTGGGGCTGGAACAACTGTAGTGCAAGAAGAGTCGTAAGAAAACAGAGGATGTTTTAATCATCTTCATTCTCCTTACCCCCAAAAGGCTTGAGTATCCATGACAGCCTGCTCCATGTTACTGCATGTCTCGCAGTTCTAGTCGGAACTAAACAGAACGAGCATTCCCTCACTACTATCGTTCTACACAAGTCTCAGACTGCGAACCTACCTAGAATACCTGTATCCAATGGCTGTCAGGGCTGTTAGCCGAATAGCCGCTGGGTGGAAATGTCAACCCCCAAACAGCTGAAAGGACCCCCAAACCAAATCATTCCATCTACGACCCGGTTGGGGCAGTGTGGTTGACCAGACGAATACAGACTGCTTCCCTGGCGTGGTCGCCGTCGCAGCCAGCATAGCGGGTGACGTTGTCTCTCGAGACTTGAATTCTGGCTGATGATAAAGTGCTTCCAGTGACATATAAGTATGAGGCTGAGGTAGGCTCGCTGCGGGAACAATACTTTGTAGATACGCGCTCGCGCTTCCCCTCGCCTTTCGACGTGGCATCAGTGGACAGCAGTGAGATCGAGACAGACACGACAGAGTAACTCGCTAGTTTGGTGCTTGACAATGAAGGCCCGAGGATTTTCCGATGGGTTGTATTTTTATTACCACACTTGGCGTGGTCATTCGAGTCAAGCGAGCGCCCGTGACTTATTCACGAGTACGAGGTTAGGTGACAACGTCTCGCGGAAATATCGTATAGTTTCAAGATGGAAAGGACTTGACTGCCTTTATGCAGTCTAAGAGTCGGTCGGTGTCCCCCAAGAGCTTCAGCCAGCAGTGAGGCGGTTGGCATTTCTCACCGACGAAGGGTTGGAGGCGTCCACACAACACATCATCATCATTTCTCTCGCCCACACAGCTGCATCTTTTCTAGACAAGCGAGTCTACGCACATATGAGCGGCCCGGCCGCCCAGTCATTCACTTACACTTGCACATCCTAAACTTCCCATACCAGCACATAATGACCTCCTCGCCGCGCTCTGGCACCGTGCCGCCACCACCACCGACAAAACTCCACCCGGCGCACACACTGCTCTCGCGCGCGCACTCGCCCGACACGGCCTCGCGCATCTTCACCGACAAGGTCAAGAACAAGCCGCTCCTCCTGCAACCCACGTCGTCGGCGGACCGGGACAAGCGCGCCCTGCGCCGGCGCATCCGCCTCCGCAAGAAGGAATACTACCTGCGCAAGCGCAAGCCGAAGCCGCTGAGCGCGAGGGAGAAGAGGGAGCTCGGGCTCCTCACGCTGAAGAAGGAGGAGGTCAAATACGACATCTACAAGGGCCTGCATGAGCTGTGGACGGGGTACATGCTGGAGATCCTGGGGTTTGTCAAGGACGGCCAGACGGTGCAAAAGGGCGCGCTGGCGAACGTGGTGACCGCGCAGAGCCACGGCTCGATCCTGGCGAGCGCCGACTTCCACGGCGCCGAGCTCGAGGTGGTCGCGTGCTCGGACGCCGGTAAAGTGGGCATCAGGGGACTCGTGGTCAGAGACACAAAGTACACCTTTGTGGTCGTCACGGCCAAGGACGAGGTCAAGACGCTGCCAAAGAGGGATACCGTCTTCCGGTACGAGATACCGCTGCCGGAACGTGAGAGTGACTCTCGGAACGACGACCCTCGTGAAGAGGAAGTCAAAGACAAAGAAGACACCAAGGGGTCAAGAATGCTCGTGTTCGAACTACACGGGAACCAATTCGAGTTTCGCCCGGCCGAGCGAGCGAACCGCAAGTTCAAGTGGAAGGCCATGGATTACTTGTGAAAGATCTAGGTTGGCCCCTGGCCAATGTCTATCATCGACAGACGCTGAATTGCGGGACGAGACGACCATACCACAGTCATTTTGACGACAGAGCTGCATCTACATCGCCGCCCACTCGACGCTAAACGTCCTTACGTCTCCAGCTGGACTTGCTCCGCCCAGCAGAAACCCTTTCTTCACACCCGTGCCCAGTCTACCCCCTCCTACTATATCCATGAGATCAATCTCATCGTCCCACTCCGTGCCGGTGGCGAGGAAGTGGGAATGGAACCGGAGCGGGTCGCCGGGGTATACAGTGTACTGGCACCCGAATCGAAGACCAGGGGTCGTGTAAAAGCCTTTGTCGTGGAGATGCCTGTAAAAAGGGTAAGAAGATGGAAGATTCTCTATGGTCGACTTTGACGTTGCCAAAGGTGGTGGCAGCAGCAGTCGAGATGTGGCCGGCGTGACAAAATATGTGTTTGACGCGGCACTGGCAGGCAAAACCTTGACAGGAGAGTCATTTTCAAAGAGTGCTTGACCCTCCAGGGCGGTATCCTCAGCAGCTTGCGCCGTCTCGCTGTTGCCTGAATCGGCTGGCTCTGCGCTAGATCCATCTTGCGTGTCACAAGATGGTGGAACTGAGGCTTTCGCATTTTTGCCCAACGCTCGCTTCCGGGCTTGCTCCTTCTCCTCGTCCTTGGCATGCTTGACTTGCTTGGACTGCCTCTGTACTCTGGCCAGATAGTCAGCACGTCGAGCTGGATCTGTCGACTGAACAGCTTGATCGTGAGCTCGAGCATCGTCAACAATGGTGCCGACTCCTCGCTCAACTAGTAACTGAGCTTCTTCAGGCATAATCTCAATAGGCACACCAAGAAATAGGTTCTGAGACGGAAACAATGGTAGCGTGCCGATTGTGATGCCACAGATGTGATGCTCCCGGCGCAGGTAAGTTGCGATTTTGATATCGAAAAGTAGATATCGACCACCAACCAAGGAGATTGGAACTGGGAGATCGGGCTTGTGGTCGAAACCCAGATCTGCCGGCGAGTCCATCATGAAGTATATCTGCCACTAAGTCCATCATAAATGTCAGCCAAGTAGTTGACAAGAGGTTTCATGCCAGATGGATGTAAATAGAAAACAAGCGGTCATATTTCAACAACGATTTTTCGCTTCAATCACATGGCTTCGTAAGAAGCTTCTCAGTGGATTGACAGATTATAAAAGTGGTCTAATCATGCAAGGACTTGGTACGGTAGATAACACAGGGAACACTCACAGGCTGATTTCTTGGAGAAAATCGATGACCACTGACTCCTTAGGGCCGAGAGAGGATGTGGAATCTCACTAGCCACGGCCAGAAGCTTTGGGGATTCTGATGGTGATGAGAAAAGAACGAATGGAGGGCTTGAAGACCAGCCTTCAAGCAACCTGAGATGAACTACATGACTTGGTGAAGGTGTGTGAAAGCGAGAGGACGAGTGTTTCTCTCAGGAAAGAAATTGAAGAGATTGAAAAAAGGTCCAAGGAAAGTTGGGCTCTCCGCGCGAGAATTTATTTCACGTGCCAGACTGATTTTGGTAGTGGTCGACCGTAGTTATGATTCTGTCAGACCAAAATATTTAATCATGACAACCTCGCGCCTCATTCCTCGCCATCAACTTGCGTCTTTGGTCATCGTAACGCCTTTCTGCTTGTCGTACAGGTGCTGCCGCCATAAAACCCTCAACGAGAAACTACTTTCAATAATGGGTATCATAGTGTTGCTGTCCTTGCTGTTCTTTATTCCGCTTCTTTTCTTCCTAGGTGCGTTCTGAACCATTCCTGCTTACAGCCCGTGCTGAAGGAAAGCGAAACAGCTTTCCTCGCTCTCTCGTCGTGCTTGGGCGACCGGTTTCGTGCGCGGGTGTCCGGATTCACCGTCAATCCACGGCATAGCACTTACGACGGTACCTATTTTCGAAGCATGACGAATCCAGGTCCTTCGTCTTCGGAGCATATTGAGTTGGAAACCATGCTCAATTCACAGGGACTGCCTCCTGGAGACGATGACCTGTGAAGCGTCATCCTCAGGGAGAAATCTAGAATTCCATATCGGCCTTCTTCCCTTTCTGCTCCTGGCCCGCTGCCTGTTGAGCACCTGTATCACCCTCGACAGGGGGCAGGTTGAACGGCTTGATGGTGAACTTTCTCCGGCTCAACGTGAAGGTCCAGTCGCTCTCAAACGTGCCAAGTCCGCTCCCACGGTCATGGAGCATCGGAAGGCGGTGTACTTGCAACAAACCCTGAGGGGGCTCTTCAGCTATACCAGAGGGACCTCGAGCAGGTGCCGCATCTCCCTCCGCCGAATGCGGAAACGGGGACAGTTCAAAGACACCGTCGTTCAACAGCTCGATCCAACGAACGAGCCCGGAAGAACGTGGATATAGTGACAGTGGAAGTGACATGACCGCCGTCAGCCGGCCAGGATGTGCCGCGAAGAGAGCACGAAGACTATGCAGGAATTGGAGGATGTTCTGTGGTTGACTCGACCAAGGGGGATAAAGCGCTGGTGAAAGAAGGGATGGAATGACGATGCGGTGGACTGTTTCCGGTGCGGAATTCATGACAGAGGCATTCAGCCGGTCGAGAACAGGTGCGAAGGGCGAGTGTGTCGGGTTCGTGCCCAATTGAATGAAATCCAACTTAGACGAGGCAGGATGAACGAGTCTCTTCGTCAAGTCGAATGTATGGCAAAAAGAAGCAGGTGGTCCCTGGGCTGATACCCCGTCTAGACCTGGTTGACCTGCAGTTGGCTGAAGACGTTCTGTAGGGGGGGAAGAAAGAAGATGTCAGTGCCAATTGCGAAGCAGAGAAACTAAACAGGAATCTCAGAGAAAATAGCATTAATTCTAGCTAGGCTACGGGGATGAACATGCCCACCTCTTGCGGGTGCGCCTGCACCAAATTGCCCCAGGCTCTCGTATCTCCATGCAATCTTCATCTTCTCTGTTTCAGCGGGTGTCTCTTTTTTCTCGCTCTCGCCGACAGCGCCTGGAAGTTCGCGACCCCACTGCTCAGGGAGCGCCACGACGTGGACATGGTGACCCTGGAGAAGGCCCTCTGCGGCGTAGAATCTTAAGAGAGCACCCGCGTAGTCGGTTGTTCCACTTTCTTCGATCAGGATCGTGCTCCCGAGAGCGAGGCCAGAATGTCCAGCGAGGAGGGCGTCGAGGCTGGCGGTGCCAGTAGAAGTTGTCGGCCAGCCGTCCACTGGTGAAGGCCGTACGCCAGGCAGCTGAACTCGGTCTTTGGCGCTGGATTGTGCTGCAGATCCTTCGGATCTCGTAGAGCCTGAGAGGCCTACATTGCGCTTGCGGAAGGACATTGAAACAAGAGACTACAGAATCCACGGAAAGTTGGTTGAGTTTGCATGTGGCAGGCAGCGCGGGGGAGTTATTGCGAAAAGTGATGTGCGCTAGATGCCGCAAAGGCTGCCGGAGGTAGAATACTCCGCCGTACATACATTTCCCTTCGAAACGCAAAAAAACAATTTCTTGCGGGCTGGAGAGCGACTTTGATTTCCCAAATACCGTCCCTTTTTTGCGCCCAAAAAGCTGCAAGCGTCTTCTCGATCTTCTTCGCAAAATCACTGCGCTCACCACCCAAAATGTCCGAGAATATCCTCTTCGAGAATAGCTTCAAGATCACCGACCTCAACGACACCAAGTATGACAGAGTCTCTCGCATCAAAGCCTACAGCGAGGGCGAGCAGGAAGTCCTTCTGACCCTCGACGTCAACACGGAACTGTACCCCCTCAACGTCGACGACCGCATGACGGTCGCGCTGGCCCTCTCCCTCAACCTGGACGGGAGCAAAGACGACGGGAAAGGGTGGAGAGAAATCGGGAGGGGAGAGCAGACGCTCGCCGACGAGTTCGACTATGTCTGCCACGGAAAGATCTACAGATTCGAGGAAGGTAGCGGAGACAACATGTAGGTTTGCGCAAGAGAGGATCTAAGTGGCGATTGGGCTAACAATTGTGCATAGCAAGCTATACGTCTCCTTCGGCGGCCTGCTGCTCTACATGGACGGCCCGTACGCACTGCTCAACGCCCTGAGAATCGACTACGTGTACCTTTTGATGAAGAAATGAGCTCTGGTCCGTGACTTTTACGGCGGCACTATGTTCTTTGGGGGAAACAAAAAAGTCTATCTAGCGAGGCGTTGGTGGGTGGGCTCTGCAAGGCTGCGCTCGTCGTGACCGGGTCTCACGAAGTTGGGAACTCCAACCGTCTATGGAGTCTTGCGACTATTTCAATATAATTCGGTTCGTTCTCGGCCGTCACGAAGCCATGCCTGACGAGGAACTCCAAGAGCAAATGTGCACAATTCGGCTTGAATCTACCCTCGGCCATAGCTCGCCGCACCTCCTCGACAGTCAAAAGCTGGAAATCGATGGCTTCGTCGTCGCCTGGCTTGGGTATGACATCGGGAGACATCCTGAGGTCATAGATGTATTGGCACTCGGGCTGACAGAGTCCCGTCTCTCCTCCGGCTCGGGCGTCGCGGACGTGGAAATATGTCAGTGTGCCACAAGCCTGAGCCGTGCGGCGCACCAAGTCTGCTGGTAATGAGGCTTCCTCTTCGCATTCTCTGACCAGGCAATCAAAGGGCTTTTCTCCCGTGCTCAGCCCTCCAGCGACCGTGTTGTCCATCATGCCGGGATACGTTGGCTTTGTCAACGAGCGTCGTGGTGTCCATATCTTCATCCCCTCGTCGGTCATGACATAGCCGGTCAAATGCACACCATAGGTGACAATTCCAAAGAGAGGTGACGCTGATCGTTCCATGTTTAACACAAGCTCCTTTTGCGGCCCGTATATGGGGTAGCGCTCGTTCCGCCAGCCGTCGAGGACGGCAAAGATACGTCTCTCGCGCACCTCCTGGAGGTAGTCCCCCAAGATGTCGCTGCGCTTGCCGAGGTCGACGACCGGGGTTCCCCGCTCATCTCGAGGTTGGAATGTCAGGCGCCTATTGACTTTGTCCAGCTTCCAGTGTTGGGTGAGAGGCATTCGCTCCGCGACGGAAGAGGTCATGTATCCCAAACACGCGCCGCAACCTTCTAGGTAGAAGTGGTAGTAGCCTTCCCACAAAGCCTTGAACTTGTCCGGGTCGTCCGTGTAGTAAGGGAAGCTTTTTGTGTCCACACCCCAGTCAGTATTCACCATTAGTGCCATCAATCACTTCACGTAATCTTGGCGGTAAGAGATGTAGTGGTGGAAGAGGAGGGGTGTCGAAGAGGGGAGTGTGCTGAGCGCCTCGAGGATGGGACAGCAGGCATGTAGGTATACACATACTTGTCGCATTCATTTACCAAGTCCAGATTTGACAGGAGGCCCATGTTTTCAGTCTTTTTCTGTCTCTATCTCTCTCTCGTTTTCTCTCTTTTATGTACCTCCCCAGGTCAGTCGTGTCTACCTCACAGAATCTGCTCTATCAGTATCAGAAAATTCGAAGCGGGGGTTTTTTGCGAGAATCGGCAAAGACTTCGGTCCCAAATAGCGAGGAGAGAAGGAACGTATGAGTCTCACACACAGAGGCAGAGACGGTCTTAGCAACTATGATAAAGTGACAAACTAGGAAACCGACTCGTTGTGCGGGCAGTTCATCCAATAATGCTGTGGTGCCCCAGGTTTTATTGATGCCTTTGCTCGGAGCTCCCTTAGTCACCCCGACCCGTGCCGCTTTTAAAACCACCATCGCCTTGCGACTCACCATTTACTTACCGATACAATTCTGACGTTGGTCAATTCGACCCTCGCAATTTTCTGGTGCCAGAGGGAGTTTCCATTATGTAGGTCAATCAAGAGAGTGTGCCTCGGACGATGTGGCAACTTGTGCTGGACTGAAGACTTGCGGGGAATCCATGGTGGACAACTGGGCAGCCGTGGCAGCCCTGGATCGTCTCGAACAGTGGGTGGCAGCTAAAACGCGCCTCGACGCGTTACTCACGACCACGTGACTGCCCTTGGCGACATACCCATCCCTTGCCATGAACTCGTCACTTCGCAACTGCGCTTTGGATTCCCATCTACACCACCCTTCCTCCTGGACGTGTCTCTGAAGGTAGCCCCTGATGGTATTTCTCCTTCTGAAAATCGCGCTCACTCATGCGCACCACGGTCTCTGTCTCCCGTGAAGTATCAAGCCCTCGGTCACCCATCTCGACCAGCTGTTCCTGGTCTCCCTCCCTTCTACTGCTTCGCTGTGGTAACTCGAACTCCGAGACGTACACGGAGACAAGATCAAGTCTACAGCTTAAATTGTGCATTTATCACTCAAGGCACCTCCGTTGACCTGAGACACCTTTAGCAAGCGTGGCAAGACTTTGTTGATGTTGGAGACTGAAAGATCAATGGCGGCGGGCGATTCATCCCAGCTGGATACTTGCGATACTTTGTTGGATCTCGATCTCGGGCCCGAAGACTGCTTCTATCGCCTTCGACGCGAAAGCCATGACGAGACGAGAGTTGTTTATGTTCACGTAACGGATATCAGCATCTTACCAGAGGACGCAGTAACGTCAAACGATGAGCTTATCCGTGCACTGTCAAAACTTAGTGGATGGTACGACAAATGGACTACGTTCACAGTATCAAGGCTCGGTGGAGAGGTCCATTGCCGTCAGGATCATTTCAGAGCTCATGCGATACCTCGGGAGAAAGTTCTCATAGGATACCCACACTTTGATATTGTCAAACTTCGTGCTCTATCTTACCCGAAATCTAGAGTCACTTATGTGGATATAGGGTCGCAGAAATGTTACATGAAGATTGCAAGATTCGAATTCGAGATTCCATGGATCATGCAGGAATTGGCGGCGTACCACTTACTAGCAAAAAGCAATTCAACACTAGGAGCTGAGCTTTTGGGATATGTCTTTGAAGGATCACATCGAGTGATCGGATTCCTGATAACAGCTTTACCTGGCCGACCAGCATCTCCAGCGGACGTGGGGGCCTGTCAGAACGCAGTCCGACAACTGCACAGTCTTGGTATCCTCCACGGGGATCTGGTTCGGTACAACATTCTGATCACAGGGAATGGGCCAAAGTTCATTGATTTTGAGAACTCATCTATCCGATCAGACCATGAGAACGACCGTTGGGATGACATGACGGCGCAAGAACTTGACAGCCTAGAATCAACTCTTCTGGATCCCTCTGACAAAGGTCGACCCTGGGAAATATCGATCGCAAATGTCCCTCCCTGAGACTGAGTTAATAGCCGCAAATTCTGCGTAACCGATGGTTGATCAATACCTCACATGCTCATTGAGCAGGGTCGACACTTGTGAGTTGACGTCTTGTCTTGACCGTCCTCCCAGATGCCTGGCCCGCATCCAGCGTCCCTAAGGTAACCCACTACGGAAGAAGTAGGTGAGGAGGCCCAGCACATATGCATGACCTGATTGACACTGAGGAAAACTTGCTAGATTGGTCGCTCTATACCTGCCTGTAAGGATACTATGTCATGGCCGTAAGACCTTGGGGCATCTTGCTGGTTAGTTTCGATACGAACCTGCTCTGTGCCCCTTTGCCTGGAACTCCCTGAGGCTGGTGCCGCAACGTCAAGCTTTGAAGTGGGCGGTGAGCATTCCTGGTATTCTACGTAAGGAGGATGTTCGACCTGAGATTCCTTCACTGGCAGAGAAGAGATCATTTCAGAAGTTCAGTCTCCCCCTCTCTATGTGGCCTCACCGATTATGAGTCTCCTTGGCCGGGGCAGCAATGGTACAGAGTATCAACTGAATGCCTGTATTGCTGTGAAAAGGGCCCGGACGGGAGAAGAGGAACAAGCAGATTATGCCAATAAGCAAAGAATGTTCTAATATCTAAGCACTCTTCCACGGATCCCACATCTGATTCGTTTGCATTTTCCTGACCCCGATCGATGCATTCCTGGAGCTTGCACCTCATGGAAGTCTTGCAATGTTACTCAACAACTATCAGGACCGCGAGGGACACCGAGTTCTCAGGGTGTTGCGCCATTTCAAGTCACGAGTCATTCATCGATGGATGAGACAACTTTGTCTTGTTGCGGCGGGACTCGAGCAGGTAGGACTGATCAATGGAGATATTCGCCCAGCCCATATGCTGTTGGATTCCAATCGACCGGGCAGTCAGAATCGGCGAAGAGATCGCCGTGCTGACTGAGCCATTTGGGCGGCTACTTAGCAAAGACGACGACGGCGACCCTGGCACCTATGGCCTGGCAGGGGCTCGAACCGAGACATTTGCCCTCGGCTCTACTTACTACACCCTGCTACGTGGCCATGAACCGTAAGCGACCTAGTCCTGGGGTAGAGACCACTTTGTCACTCTGGCCGAAAAATTCCAATTCAGAGAATTTCCGCCCTTGACCAATTCGGCCAGCGACGCCATTGTGAGAAAGTGCTGGAGTGGAGAATATCACTCGGTAACGAACCTTCTAGCCAAGTTTCCAGACGATGGCGTGCAGGACAATTCCACGAACGAGACTCAGGAATGGTTGAATCAGCTAGAATCGCAATACAGGGCATTCGTCGAAAGTGGTCTTGTGGATAGATTAGAGAGATATTAGAAGGCATTCAGCGTATACCGGAGCCCCTTCCTTTAATCAAGTTCCAAAAAATATTGATGGGAACGACTTGAAGGGATTCGGATCAGCAGAAAGTAGTACTGCAAATAGACATTGATCAACAAGCCTCAAAGGAAAAACTCTACCAGGCCGCTTTAAAGTCAGTTCCGCCGACCTCATCGAGCATGACGTCATCATCCATCATGCACAAAGGCGGCGTTAGGACCGTCCCAAAAGAGGGTGAGCCGCGGGCAGTTGAGTTTGTCCCACACTTTAACAGCCTCAGCCCACGGCAGCGTCCGGTCTGGTCAAGCTGCCTGAATTGATATAATTTTCCCCATGTTTCTATGTACTTTATATCCTAAGTTACACGGTTACTCTTTTCCCTCTTTCCTCCCTGACCATATCAAACCGTCCTAGTAATCACACCGCCACCAGACATGTTTGGAGTCTTCATCCCCACGCGGCCCATCATCCCCGAGATGGCGACCGTCTCGCCGAACCAGTTTGCCGTCTCGTTCCCGGCCTCTCCAGCATTCCACAACGTCGGTGTCTTCTTACACCCAAACAACCTCCTTCCCCCGGGCACAGCCGCGGGAGTCTACATGCAACTGCCGGGGGAGCAGGGGTTCAAGTTTCTCGGCGCCATCGGCAACGAGAAGCCCTCTGCGCTGTTCCGCGTGAACCTGCCCGACTCTGGCGTCGCCAACAACCCTTCTGCGGGACAAGTCAACCTGGGCATCTCGGTCGAACCGGCCGAGAACATCCAGGCGCAGATGCTCCAGCTCCAGCAGCAACAGCAACAATCACCAATGTCGCCTACGACAGCGTCCTCAAATTCTTCAGCCCTCGTCAAGAGACCCCCCGACACGAGGGTGCTGGCCCAGCGCATCATCCGCAACGCGTTCAACTTCCTGGCCAGTTTTGCGGGAAATACGGCTAACGGAGTCGAGGTCGTGCCGCTCAAAAGCTTCCAGGACTGGTGGACAAAGTTTGAGCGGAGGGTGCAGAATGATCCCGGGTTTTTGGAGAGGGACGAGGTTTGAACGACCCCCAAAGAATGTGGTCGATTCTCTCTCTTCCACCCCAAAAAACTAATAGCAGAGTGAATGTGAGAGTGAGAGTGCAAGTGCAAGTGCAAGTAACCATGGACGCTGGACGGTATCAAGTTGATTTGACCAAGCTCACTGATTAGAGTTTTGACGACGGTCAAGTTCTATTCCATTTGCAGAGAGCCACTACAGGATCGAATATTACGTCAACTTTGATACACATCCTGTCGTGAGAGGGGGGAATGGTGTCAGGAAATAGTTCTACCAAACCGCCCATCGCCGCCCCACGGTCAATCGCTCGACATGCAATGCCCCGAAACACCATCTAAAGCGACATTGGACATTACTTCACCACTGCATGGCCATGATCTCCTCCTTGGTCCAGAACCGGCGCATATTCTCCGCGCCCAGCATCCTCACCTCGTCGTCCAAGTGGGCCCACAACACACCTCCAAAAGAGTCCATGATCTCCTTCAACTCGGACAGGCGCAGCTCCTTCTCCCCGCTCCGGCACGCATCGAGATACTCCTCCAACTTTTCGAGCCCTTCGTGGATTTGTTCGTGCTGGGTGATGAGGTGGTCGTGGGCGCCGAACGCGGGCATGCGCTCGGCCAGTTCGGGGAAGACGTGTTGCTCCTCGATCGTGTGGTGGATCGTCAGCGAGTGGCACAGGTGCAGGCCCTGCGAGATGAAGCTGCGGATGGACATGCCCGCGGGTCGCGACCCGGATGTGCACGCCTTGTACAGGAGATTCCACGTGTATCGGAAATGGTTGTGCTGGGCGTGTTTGTTAGTCGGACGTTGTTTTCGGGAGAAGGATGTGCTGGACAGTCCTCCGTTCCGAGGAACAAGTGCTTGGGAACAAAACATCTTGGGGGAAAAAAGTCCTAAAAGGGGTTTTTGGTACAGGGGGGGTCCAAGCGTCAACATACATAGGCATTCATCATGACGGCCAGGCGATTATACTCGCGGAAATCCTGGGCAGACAGTTTCGGCAACTCTGGCTCTGGTTCAGCTGCGGCTTTATCTGCATCTGTTTTTGTGTCTGTATCTGCATTCTTGTTGTTCGACGCCGTTGACGGATCCGCTTGAACCCCGGCTTTTTGTCCCGGCGTGCACTGTTCGGGACCAAGGCCACACTCTTGCGAAGCCATGCTGGTTGTCGGGTTCGTCGGGGTTGAGGAGATGGATCTCGAAAACGTCGGTGCGTGCGAAACAGTGCCTTGCAATGCCGTCTGAGACGGGCCTGCACCGCCGATCCAGAGGGGGACTACTTTTGCCCTCAGGGTCTGGAAGTTGTTCGCGGCGTTGACTCGTAGGATCTGTACCGGTGTTGATAGTGGGAGGAATCGAGTTGACGTTTGTTGCAGGAGAGCGATGAGGATCGCTAGCATCAAGACACAGATACTGACGTAGACAGAGACAGAGACGCTGGGCCGTAGATGCGGTAGTGGACGTTGGCGTGAGGATATCCAGCCTCTCATCCGCCCCTCTCTCTCTCTCCTCCGCTGTAGAGAGTCCTCCAATTCACGAACAAGACACCACCGACCAGCCGGGTAGATTGACGGTCGAATTGAAGAGATGTATCCAACCCCTCTGAAAACACCAGGTCCTCCTGGGCGACAATTTATACTTTTTTTCCGTCCTCTCCTCTCTCTTCAAGAATCCAAAGGAAGCTGAGCAGTCTTGTCCCGTCCTGACTTTGTCATGTTTTGTAAATCAAAGAAAGAAGAAAATCCAGAAAGAAAGAGAAGAGAGAGAAAGTGTGTGTGTGTGTGTGTGTGTGTGTGTGTGTGTGTGTGTGTGTGTGTGTGTGTGTGTGTGGCGCGCGTGGTGTACCCGAATGATCAATCGATCGATCCACTTCTCGCTGTGTCGTATCGTATCGCACTATATTTTACTACTTATACGATCCCACCCTTCACCTGGTCCAGTTATGTATGCACGTATATATGCGATATTGGTAGGTATGTAGATAGCCAACGATATTCATCGGATTTCCGATATGCCGGGCGAGCCAATCCTCCAGGGGGGCGATGTGGCGAGCCTCGTCATGTGATCGGGTATGGTTTCTCGGTCGAGATGCTGCGATCCAGCGATCCAGCGGATTATTTGTCGGGGTTGTCACGGGGTTGTGGATACGCGAGGTAGAGCAACAGCGAAAAGCGAAAAGCCTGAGAGAAATCTCGACAGGAAAGGGCGGAGATTGTATCTGTGGGTCGGATGATATCTCTTGATGCCTACCTATTTATCTAACATATCTCTCCAGCTATCCACTTCTCCGTGTACAGACTGACAGCATGCTTCTACCTTATCAAGAGTTAATACAATGCGACGATATATAGACAAGACATAAGGGACCGGCGCGACAAAAAAGACATCACTCATCCATATTCATAACACTTTCATTATCCATTGTACATCCATTGAGGACTACTTTACCTACATAGCTAGCTAGCTAGCAAGCAGCAGAACTTTACAAGACTTCGGAACCGGCAGCGCCAGCCCCATGCACAGGTAAACTAGCCCCCGAGGTGTGTGCTCGTGCTCGTGCTGGTGTGTTTGTGTGTAGATGTATAATGAAAGAAACCAGGCCAGATGTTTTCCCCCGGCTCTGACAATTCTCATTTGCATGCCTTTTTGGTTTTCGCGGGACAAAAGTTGGAATGAATCGTTTTCGTTCTCTCGTAATTACTCCATGGACTTGTCATTTTTTCACTTTAGGAGATACGTTGACCCTTTAACCAAAGAGAGCACCGCCAAGTCGGACTCTCACAGACTTGACTTGAGTGTAGTTGGACAGAGCATACTTGCCGAGCTCACGGCCAATACCAGACTCCTTGAAGCCACCGAAGGGCACCTGGTAGCTGAGCATGTTGTAGTTGTTGACCCAGACGGTGCCGGCCTTGAGGGCGTTGGCAACGCGGATAGCAGTGTTGAGGTTAGTGGTGTGCACGGCAGCGGCGAGGCCGTAGGTGGTCTCGTTGCCGAGTCGGATCACCTCTTCTTCAGTCTCGAACTTGCTGATGGCGCAGACAGGACCAAAGATCTCTTCTTGCATGATCTTCATGTCCTCGCTGACGTTGGAGAAGATGGTGGGTTGGATGAAGTAGCCCTCCTCGCCGTGGCGCTCACCACCAGTCTCAACCTTGGCACCAGCCTCTTTACCGGACTGGATGTAGTTCATGATCCGGTCGAATTGGAGCTTGCTGACCTGAGGACCCTGGAAGGTGTCGGCCTTGAATGGGTCGCCGACGACGTTCTTGGCCGTCCGCTCCTTGAATGCCTGGATGAACTTGTCATAGACACCCGATTGGACGTAGACACGCGAGCCGGCGCAGCAGCACTGGCCGTGGTTGAAGAAGATACCAAAGTTGACCCACGAGATGGCGTCCTCGATGTTGGCGTCGTTGAAGACAATGTTGGGCGACTTGCCGCCCAGCTCGAGAGTGACCTTCTTCAGGTTCGACTTGGCAGCGGCTTGTAGGATGGTGCGGCCGACAACGGTCGAGCCAGTGAAGGCGACCTTGTCAATGTCCATGTGGGAGGCGATGGCGGCACCAGCAGTCTTGCCGAAGCCGGAGAGGATATTGATAACACCGGCAGGAATGCCGGCCTTCTCGCAGAGAGTGGCGGCGAACAGGCCAGAGAGAGGGGTCTGCTCAGCAGTCTTTAGGACAACAGTGTTACCGGTAGCGATCGCAGGGCCAATCTTCCAGGACCACATGAGAAGAGGAAAGTTCCATGGGATGATCTGACCGCAGACACCGATGGCTTCATGTCTGGTGTAGTTGAATGTCTCTGGGTCTGTGTCGATGGTCTTGCCGTGGATCTTGTCTGCCCATCCACCGTAGTATCTCAAGCAGCCCGAAGACAGCTGAACGTCGACCTTGGCCATGGACAGGGCCTTGCCGTTGTCCAAAGCTTCAATCGCAGCTAGGGTATCCGAGTACTCGTCGAAGAGGTCGGCCAATTTGCACAGCATCTGGCCGCGCACACTGGGGAGCGTCTGGGCCCAAACGCCATTGAAAGCCTTGCGGGCGGCCTTGACGGCAAGGTCGACATCTACATGAGAAATAACATGGTCAGCAGGCTCCCCACCTCCAAGATCTCTAGGTCACTCACCCTCGGGACCGGCCTCGTGGACGGCGATAATGGGCTTCTCGTTCGAGGGGTTGATGGTCTCAAAGGTCTTGCCCTCAACACCCTTCACCCACTTGCCATCGATGTACAAGCCCAGCGGCTGCTCGTACGTGATGCTAGGGGTCTCGATCTTTGCTGTCAGAGACATGGTTGCTTGAACTGTCGATTTGTACAAAAAGAACTGGGATGGGGTATCACAACAGGCAAGGGACAAAGTCGCAGACTTTTTGTAATAGGACAAGAAGAGGAGAAGAGAGAGATCAGACGAGCACCGAGGGCAGAGAGTGAGCTTTATTTCAAATACTTCATGCGCGGGGAAGCGCCAACTCTCATGGACGCAATGATGTCCACAAGCACAAATCTTCTTTCGCTTTCCTATTGACCGAGCCAGTAGGTAGACGGCGAGCGACGAGTAGGGTAGACACGAGAATGGATCCCAGAGGTCGAGCGGACAATTGTAGTAGGCTGGACGCTGGAATTCCGTCCCTCCAAGGACAGGGGGGTGATTGGGAGTCGCATCTCAACTGCGGGGTCGAGAGGCAGCGAGAGAGTCGTAGGTGGATCAAGGGAGATCAGAATTGTCACAGCTGGGAAGCCTCAAGTGATTCAAGGGTGGAAGAGGGTTTCGATGTTCTGTGAGATTGAGTGAGGGGATTGGACGAGGTCGCGGAGACTGCGACTAGGATGGGGGGGCGCAGGGAGGGACAATGTGGCAAAGAGGACAAAGAGGGGAACTGACTAAACAACCACGACAAGTAGCAGTACAACATGGACTTTTGCCCGGTGAGCCGTTCTGGCTGGCCCAAAGGATGACCGGACGAAGATTCCTCTGGACCTTTTTTGGCCAGATCTTGCCTTGACCCCGAAGCTAGCCGAATCCAAAGTCCTGGAGGAAACATACTCTAGCTATACGATGCACTGGTAGCTATACATGTTGCAGAGGTCGGGACTTCCATCACATCGGATCTGAGGACCAAGCCCGCGTCATCCATGTCTGAATCTAGCCCAGACGGCCAAGCCCCTGTAGACCTGATGGGTTCGGAAGAAGGGTTGAAGGGTTGTACGGACGGAAAGTGTGTGGCTACAAGCCGGCTACAAGGAGAAACGCCTGGAGGACTTTTTTCCGTACGAGAACGATTTGTTGGACGGAGAGTCATTGCCCCGTCACCAGATGACCCAACTGTAATGGCATTATGGCCGAGAGCAAGCAATAATTCTGCGATGTCTCCGCCGCCACCCCCTCCCATCCAAGCTCCTTTGCCATATGGGGGATGCCGTAGATAGAGGGGCACAGGGGGTCAGAGGAGCAGGGGCACAGGCACAGATACTGAGTACAGCATAGAGGGAGAGTTCTCCGTCGGCGCGGGGCAGATGTGGCGCGCTTGGTATGTATTGCCAGTCTTTGTTCGCATCAACACGGTCGAGTCGACCTTTGTCCCTCGGTATCCCAAGTGCCAGGCCACCAGGCTTATAGTTCGCTCTCTGTTTCCCAATCTGGACAAACTGGCGCGTCTGCGGAACCGTTTCCACAAATGATAGCAAATCCAGAATTATTGTAACGTCGAGCTTCGTCCTCCGTCTTATTGCCGACCCATGTAGCCAGCCCCTCTCAAGTAAAACATGGGGAGAATGCGATGAGGCCCAGGATCATCTAATCGAATATTTTGAAACATTGACCTGGCAGCTGCCTGGTCTGTGCTTCCATCGGCCCGGTTGTAGACGCCCAATCTTTGTCTTAAACATGCTAGCGAAAGAGCTACTTGTAGAATCTTGATCACCTCCCCATCGACCTTATATTGCCGAGCTAATATCTGTGCATCAGTTCGCCGATGGGCAGGTCAACCTTGGAATTTGGGCGTCGTTATAGCCGTGTTCGACTAGGATCGGTTCGATCTCGGTCTGCTGCAAGCTATTCGTAAGGGACTCTACTAGGTATAGACAAAAATGTCAGAGAGTTTTGCATGCTGACGGCGCCGATCGACAACTGATTCGTTCATAACACGACGTAGCTGTAGCGGCGGCGGACCGAAGCACCTGAAGCTTTTGGCCTGGTTGGGAAGGGTTGCTGCATTGCTTACGATGATCGACTAATCCTTGTCCAGGGAGGCTGATTACTGGCGAAGTGTGAGGGGAAATGAAACAGCAGACAAGCTGCACGTCGGTGACACTCGGCCCGTTTAAAGGCAACTATGCCGAAAGATCCCCACCTAGAATCACGTGTATACCCACCACAATAATTCATCAAGGTATATATTATTGTCCCAAAATTTGTCTCTTGGCTGTCATGGTCAAAAAGTTAGGAGATCACCTTGAACCTGTTGGGCGTCGCTTCACACACCCACTTGTTCAGTCGTGCCTTGCTCGGAATTGCGGGTCGTTCATCGTACTCGTGTGTGCAGACCACGATCGCTACGGAACGTTAAGTCATTGGAAGTGACACTTGAGGGAAGCGATTCTGCAGAGACTCTTCCACCCGGAGTTGGCGATGTGAGATTACACACTGGCAAGATATGCGAAGTCCCAGGTTCGACGTGGGTGACCGACTTTTTTGGTAGTCCCGTAGTAGTAGTAGTAATTCTTTTTTGTTTTTTGGTTTTTGTCCTTTTTTGCCCTCCTGTCGAGCAGAGGGGTTTGATTGTGCGGAGACAACATCCACATCCAAGAGGATCAATGCCAAGACATTTACCTCCTGCTACTGCTACCACTGGTACTAGGCACCCACTAGGTGCTCACTCAGGAGAAAGACAAAGATGATTGTTACTCTATTCTCTAAACATGAATGCTAAGAACAATGCCCGTTTGCCGTCACCAGCACGCTCTGGTTGCGTTCCTGCGTTGACGGCGCGACATCCATGGCGGGATTCCTGGTGAAGAAGTTGACGGGCTTCAGCCCAACGACCATCTTCTCACACGGCATCACCGGCCAATCCTCCACGCGCGGGTTGTGCGTGGATCCAAAGGTATGCCAGACAACAATGTCTTGATTCTTGACGTCAGAGGGGGGAGCATTGTCCGCTGCCGCCGAAGACTCCTGCTGCTGCAGCTGGCGTTTCGCGATCCAGCTGGCAATCCCTTCACCGCCGAGAGATTGCATGGTGTGGTCGCCCGCTGCGAACAGCTCTCCGTCGTGGTACCTCGTCACCCAGACTGCATGGGCGCCGAACTCGGATCTCTTCGCATGGTACGAGGATGGGTGTGCGAGGGTGAGTTGACTATAGCACGGGACCAGTTTATATCCAACAGGACCTCCCGTGACGGGGTTCGTCACGCCCTCGTTGACGATCTTGAAGACCCGATTGACCGTGTGGTCGAGATCCAAGCCGCATTCTTCCTTGACCGTCTCAGCTTTGGTCGTGTATCCAATCCCAAAAGGGTTGTGGATACTGGGGTCTTGACTCTCGAGCGGCATCGCGTGTGATTCCTCGACGACGAGGGAATTCTGCCACCCCGCCACAGCCGGATCAACCCTCAGACAGAACAGGTGCTGATGATACGGAGCCATGACGCCTGGTGCGACCGTCGTGCCAAACGGCACTTTATCCCCCACGTTGATCGGGACGGTCGACACAATCCCCGTCGCGCGCACTTCATAATGCAACGACGCGTCCTGCCCAAAGTAGAAGGCAAAAATGTACTCGTAGTTGCTCACGGTGATGATGGTTTGCAGCACCAGGACCCTCGAGCGGGCGACCACGGCGTTGTTGGTGCGGAAGTTGGTGTGCTTCCACAGGATCCCGTCGTCGATCTCGTGACAGCACACCGCGTTGGGCAGTTTTATAGGGTCGCCCGAGCTGGTTGCGTGCCAGCCGTCAAAGTACTTGATGTGGCCCAGACAGTCGCACCCCAGCTGCAGGTTGTTGGCGTTGCAGCCTGCGCCGTCGTTGCCCAGATCAAACGCGGCCTTCCGAGCATACGGCGTCCGCGGATCACCGTAGGGGACAAACATCTCCGAGAGCGAGAGGCGGTAGAACAACGACCGACCGTCATACCGCACGTCATGGAGCGTAAGTCCTTCCCTGTAGTTGAACCCGACGCGCAGGTGCCACTTTTCCCAGCGTACGAGGTTCCCTTCGGTCGTGAACGACGGGCCATCCGGCTGCACGACCCGGTATGGCTTTGTGGACGTGCGATGCTCGGGCACCAAGTCTGGATGGTACTCGATGCTCGCGTCGAAGATTTTCCGCCGGTCGTACGGTTTCGCCGTCGTGCTTATGTCGTTGGACGTGCCGTTGGGGAGGTGATATATCTTCAAGACGCGCGCGTCGCCCGACATTTCCACACAAAGGTCCAGCGGGTAGGCGTAGTGGTTCGCGTCCGGATGACTGATTAATTTCATGTAGAAATAGCACTGCACAGGAAGTCAAATCATCAGCTATCCATCCCACAAGGTCCGCGACAATTCAACAGTTTCAGAACAAGGCCATAACGTTTTCGTTTCGCTCCCCGGGCGGAAAATAAACTTACCATGGTGATCTTCTGGTTCATATCGTTCATCCCGTCTGTCGCATACGTCCAAGGTTCGATCTTGACCACGGCCCCTTCGGGGAGTTGCATCTCCTTGATCGCGGCCTGCACCCGGCTGTCACCGAGGCAGGCCGCCTCGGTCTTCTGCATATCGTTGGCGTCGACGTGAGGATGCCGGCCGAGAAGTTGCTCCTTGCCCACGACCTCTCCGGTGTCCACGTTGACCTTGAGTTCGTAAAAGTGCGCGCTGTCGCGTGGCTGCCCAAGAAACACCTGAACCGTGGCGAGACGAGGCGGCCTTTTCAACGTCTGCGACTCGACACCACCGCCTTTGCTGTGCTCATGCTCGAGATAAGTCACCATCTCGGCCTTTGCAGGCTCTGCAAGGGTGATGACCCGGAAATATGCTTCGCCATCGGGAAACGCTGCGCGGACATGCTTCGAGGTCTAGAACCGATCAATTCGTGATCCCCTGCTGGAACACTTCGAGAGCCATCCTTACTTGAGAGATCTCTTGAGGCGTGAGGGGGTCCAAAGGGTGTGGACCCATGACTGCCATTTCTTCGAGATTGATTTCTTGTGGTAGCTTGCGAGCATTCGCTCCAAATTGTTTGTGCCAAAGCCGATCTCGTTCCTGGTGTAAAGGAAGTACAGACTGGTTAACCTACTGGCTAGGAAAATGTTTACATGTTGGTAAAACAACAACTCGAACTCAATGTGGATCTACGCCCTCTGACAAGACGTGAACTGCCAAGGGCAGTAGGAGTAGGACGCATCTAAATCCATACCTCCAAAGGTTGGGTTGAGGCTCGGTCGTCCAATGCTTTTGTGAAAGACACGGAGGAATCCGCTGGCGATGAAAGCAGTCAAGTATGTAACTGTCGGATATTGGCGGTTCCTGGGCCGTCTCTAGCCTAACTGACTTGGGCATCTGGGAGCATGCTGTCTATGTGCAGCAGACTAATGCGCAAAAACACATTGGTTGCACCGGTATACCATACGCGATCATGGACAGAATGATGGTTGAAAGGGAATGCTGCTACTCCTTTCGGTACAGAGACTGTTTCGACCGTTGGACGAGCAGATGTCTTAGGGGTCCGAAGTTGCTTCCTCACACGCCAACAAGGGTCCAGAAGCACTCCTCGAGGCGTGCTGATGCAGTCTCGATATGAGTAACGCAAGCAGTGATTAGCCGGGAGTCGACAGGCTGTCCATAAAAAGGGAAATCAAAGCTCCTGCCAGGGGTTTCACGCGCAGTTCATCGCTCAATCATATCAGCCTGCGCAGTGCAACAACAAACGTTTGGGACCTCTGAGAAACAGCACACAAGTCGATGGGCAATTGCGAGTAGCCAGCACTTATTAAGCCGTAAAAGTCTTTTCATTGAGATGATCGGCCACGGGGCGCGATGATTGAAATTATGTCCAAGTTAGAACGCTTGTTGGAGTAAACCCATTCCCTCAACCGGCGCAGGGTATAGAGCCTTTCTTTAGTACAGGGAGGCGAGATTCGTCAGAAGAAGTCTGAATAAGAGTGGCTCCATCCAGGCGTAGGCCACAAAAAGGGACTAAAAATCTTTTGTTGGTACACTTTTCGTCGCTCTTCGTCGCGTTGCAGCGGGCAGTGGGTTTATTCGACGCCCGGGCCACTGTCAGATCCTTCGCTACCAGCGCCAAAGGAGCCAACCTTCAGGTTCTTGTCTTGCGCAACCATTATTGCGAGGATCTCGAGGATCTCCTTGGGGACGGTATTATCGTAGATGCCGATGAGTGATTGAGGTTCAGGGTAGACCTTGAGTCCCTTGTAGAAGCAAAGCGCGGCACCGATAGGATCAGAACCTGAAAAGAAGAGTCAGTCCATACTGTTTACAGGCCATGGTGATGGTTGTACATACCGTCACTGGCCATAGCCTCCCCCTGTGCGATTTGTTGCATGAAGAAAGCCTCCTTCTCTTCAATGTCTGTCGGGAAGCCCTCTTCAATTGCCTCCTGAACAGTCCGTTTGATCTCCTCCTGTTTCTGTTTGCCTTGGAACTCGGCCTCCTCTTTGGCTAATCGGGCTTGTCTGCGCGACTCCTTCTTCAGGGCTTTCCGGAACTCAGGGTCGTTTCTCCGCCTGTAATCGAAGTACGCGGCATATGCTGATAGAAAGTCAGTTGCCAAAAGTCCAGCCGAGAGTGTTTTCCCTTTGTGAGGCATCGACGCACCAATCAGGCCTGTGACTACCGTCCCGACAGATATTGACACGATCGTCGAGGTCTTCATGATGAGGATACGGAGAAGCAGGCCCTGGAAAAGAAAGATGTGGCGGCAGTCTGTGTATGACGACAAGAAGTAAAGAATGCAGAGTATAAGAAGCAGAAATGCAAACGGAAATGGAAATGGATTCTAAGAAAGTAGTCGTATCGAGATGAATGATTTTCCGGATAGACTTGGAATGATACTTAATGTACTGCAGCTTTGGGGAAATTTCGCAGCTTTGCAAACGAAAAAGGCCATCAACGACTTTGGCAAGGCGCAAGTTGAGCGACTTCACTTGGTGTAGTCAATGATCCGCACTAACAGTACTGTGGAGCATTTAGACCCCGAGAGACAAGCTCAGCCTTGCTGCCCCTGAGGCCCCAGACTGTACCCGACACCCACTCACTGACTATAGGTAGCTAAGGATGCACTGGGCATCCTCTGTTTACCTCGGTATACCCTAACTTACAAAAAGGTTATCATGCACGGTAGTCAGTGACGCCGGAATTCCCATCCTTAGACCGCCGCCATTCAGCCGTAACAGCTTCCCCAGAGCCTCATGCCCACGTTGGTACAATTTGGGTTCAGGCGAAGCTTGTACAGGTCTTTTGGCATCCGGCGGACTGGAAACAGACGCAACTATTGAAGTCCTGTTGAATTGAGGGTATTGGACAGACGCAACAGCCTGAATCTCACATGATCAAACCCTTGTGTCGTGTGTCACCCAGAGTATGTTTTCAATCAGCAACCCGAGCAGGCTCTTCCACCGCTGGAGATACTTCACTACTCGAACACACAAGTACATCCATCCGCCCTATACATACACCCAACGACTCACAGTGTTTAGTCAGGCAGAAGCTCGATCCACTGCATCTGTGACACGTGCGTGTGCCCTCGCATCCGCACCCTAGCAAGCTCGAAGCCAACAGCAAGCGACGCCTTGCAGAAATAGGCATCTTCTGACGACAAATAAAACGGTCTCTTCGCTATACCAGTTCCGAAATCTCGCAGAGATACCTGAAAAACTGTGGACAATCCCGTGGGGGAAGGTTCACGCGCTGAAGGAGTCAATCCTTCGGGTAACAAGGGGATTAACGACCCTCCTGTCAGCAGGAATGCATGCACCGACAAGACGCTCAGTAAAAAAGCATTCTGTCGTTTTCCACCTGCGTTCCCTCAGATCAGGCGCTTGTCCAGTGCTTCGGTGGCGCCTGGCAGAAACGAAATGGATTCGCTGTTCGTGTATCCGTCACTTCGCAGCACTCGCTTTGATGTCCCGAAAGCGCAATGCGTTGAATTTCCCAAGATGGGACTGCCACATGGAGTCTCGTTCACTGCTTCCCTGGACTTTGCGAGCTTTCTAGAACCAAAGCAAGGCATTCAAGTCAGGCTTAACACAGACCTGCAAGCCAATTACAAAGCGCCCCAACACTGTCTCCAGCTTGGTGAGGAATAGCTCTTGGTCACCTCACCAATGACTTACTCATCAGCGGGCTTCCAGTGTCCTTTTGTTGCCAAGATGACGCAGGGTACATCTCCCGTGTACATTAATCAGCAGCAAGAAGGTCACTGGAATCGTGTCCGTCCATCCCCAGGAGAGCTCAATGTCCTCGAGATAGCTGGCTGAAGTATCCAGAAATCGCGGTCACAAGTCGACATCTGCTGCCTGGATCGTTCGGGATGGGCATCCATGATCTTGCAGATCATTTGCTGTGACGTCTCGAGCCAGCTGGAACTTATAACATGATTCTGTATCTACTGTCAAATCAATCAGCCGAGGCTATCATGGGATGTTGTCGTGCGGTTCGCGTGGCACATGCCAGGGGGAGAACAGCTGAGGTGAGTATGCAAATCTGCTCAGCAGAGACGCATATTCCTTTCCATGTTCCCCTTGTCACCCTATCCTAAACGAGCCCATGGTCAAATACCTAGAAAGAGAAAGGCAAAGCTCGGAGCCGCACCCTCATTGACCTATAAAGGTGGCTCCCAGCTCCGGCAAGACGGAACAGGCCGAGCAAGCCCCTCCAGTCGAACTGACAAGGAGAAGGGTGGCATGAATTGTGCAAGATTCGTCCAATAGCATGGGGATGCAGCTTCGACTCTAGTGAAGAAAAGGTACGTATACTGAAACCTGTGATTGGTTGGCACAAAATAGATCCTGAGTTAAGCGCTATGTAAGCAGACATCTGACGGCACCAACGGCAGCCAGCAACGAACTTCAACCAATCTAGACTGATGAAGACGAGCAAGTGGCTACAAAGACCTTCTCAATTGGACGACCTGAACCGATCCTCTACCAAATGCTCGATGCGCGGGAAACTGGTAGGGATTTGAGCACCATGATTGGTGTCTTGTCGTTCAGTGCCAGAGTTGCCCGGCTCCGCATGTATGCAGGGTCAATGCGCAGTACCGAGTACGAAATACATTTATCGAGGAGTCCCCAGAGATTGCGGATTTCTTCATCGAAGCCGGACTCAGCGAACATGGGCAGTTGTACAGCTCTTCAACAACGGGGCCTGAAACGGCGGGGAACTCACTCTGTAAGATCGCCCTGTCACTCTTTTGTGGAAAAAGCCCTCCTCATGTGTGTATCCTGCTAGAATAGTCGGGGACGGCCGCCTGTGTGCGACTTACGTCAGTCGGAGGTCGACGACAACATCAGAAGGCTTCAAAACCAGGTTGTCAAACTCAAGTTTGAGTGTAAAATCCTGCAGCAAGCAAGAGATGACTCAGTCATGGTAGCCGCACAGATGATCAAGGAGATTGAACGGTTGCAGGGAATCCTCAACTCCATGCTCCAGCAGAAAAAGGAAATCTCCAAGGATGATTCGCCTTGATCAATAAACAACAAGCACGCTTGGCTCGGGGCCGAACTTTCACATGAAGAAGAGATATCCCATTGAGCTTTGGGCGTGCGGAACCGAGAAAGCCAAACCGACCATTCATTTGAGCGCCCGATTCTATTGATGCCGTTATCGCATGCAATGGGATAGTCACTCCTTCGAGATGAAGCGCCCCTTACCGTCGACTGTGGAACCCAAAAGCAATCCCCAAGATGGACTGGGAGGTCGTCTGTCGGGTTGCATTGTGCAGGACTGGGTCAAAGGCGAGCCCCGGAATTCCACCGCAACGGCGCGGTAGTATGGCATTTGGGGCTTCCAGTGTTAATAGAGCTCGTCGAGAGAGTGAAGAGACGAGATCATGGGTTCATTTTCGTCTAACAGCTGAAAAGCGACGCTTCAGCAGTGTTGCAAAGAGAAGAAGATCGTCCGAACCATCCATCGATCAATGATGCAAGTGGGCCTTCCAGATCGAAGCACCTGTCGGCGAAACTAATGCTAGCCGAGCCCATTGATCTATAGGCTAGGGTTCCCCGAGATCGATCTGCTGGGAAGGTGGTACTGGCAAGTCCAAGAGAAGTTCTGCTCTTAAATACAATACTGTATTCGAGTCAATGGCTGATATTCCACCCCCAAATGGAAGGTATTGAGACGATAAGATCACCTGCGAAGTCTTCCAAATTCTGGGATACAAGCAGTCTTCGAAGAGTACTTGAAACATTGTCAGTAATGCATTCCTAACTTCATCACTGGTACTGGCAGGCAATATTGTTCTGTAGAGACTGTAATGGCAGACACTTCCACTGCTGTGAAATCGATAAACAATCGTGTCTGATCTCCTTCATTCGGTCGAGAGCATGACAACAAAGTAATGCCAGACTCGAAGCAAGGGTAATTTGTGTCACTATCTCCCAATGCGACTTGCACGCTATCAAAATATCGTTTTGGCAGCCGAACACCTGGACAATTTCAGTGTCTTCTGTGGTATTAGCAAGCTCATGGTCGGGCAGACTGGTCGTACGGGTTTTGTCGAACAGCACCAACCAGATCCCTTTGCAATGGATTTTCGATTCCCATTCGGGTATATTCCGTCAACTTCGATGCAAAACTGGTGGTGGTATGATGGCTGTGTAGCAGCGGTGTCGCGTAGACATCACACCGCTCAACCTGGTGGCGTTGAGCTGGAGTAGCAAGCCACACGAATACTCGACTTTTCTGTCGAGGCGACACAATCTTCCTAGGTGTTACACACGGACGTCACTCCCATGCTCTTGCCCCTCGTGGCGTAAGATCGGAAAATGGAAGGACTTGGTCTGCAAAATCCCTGCTTATTGAGGTAAAGGGTGGCTGGGAGAGAGAGGCTACCGAAGCACGGCGTCATATTACGCAGGCGTCCGGGAGAGGAGCATCCATTAGCTGCAGGTCCAGCGGAGTAGATGAGACAACGAACGACTTGGTCTCATCTTGACGTAACAGGAGATCTGACTTCGACCCAAGCCAGGTAAATACCCAGGTGCGCCTTGCATTAAACGAAGGACAGGCCGAAAACAGACAGGACCTTGCGTTGTAGGAGTGGTACCTAACTTCAGTAACGACTGAGGTTCACTAGCTTTGCGCTGAGAGCCTTGTCCCCTCGATCTAGTACGAGTAGACCTGAGAGGGCGGAAAATTCTTACAGCAGCGTCACCCTCAGCCAGGTGCAGACAGCTATTACTCCTTGAAGCTGTATTGAGTCGTGTTGGTACTTGGTCACAACATAAAACGGCTGGGACACACAACAACTGATCTCTTGGTATGCTCTCGTCTGCAGTACCTCGTACATGCCTCGTCATCCTCACACTGAGCCGGGAGTGGAGAACGTGATTTTTGGCCAGAAACGTCGAAAATTCACAAAGGCAGCTTGGGATACGGCCGCCTGCCGATTGGCTCTGAGGGTGGCCATCCTTTAGCGTGGGCGCTTAGATGCAGAAGCGTGCTGGGCCGCCTGAAGCCTAATGACCCTGGCCGAAGCACCCAGCAACTCCCCCGTATGAAATTGTCCCACACTCTTCATCGACCCGGTGTCTTTAGCTTTGGGGGTGGGCCACGTCCAGGGCTTGGATTGTCTGCTGAAGAAGGGTGACGAACATGACAGACGTCTCGCAGACAGCATGAGGAGCCTGGAAGAACGTTGATGGAAACAAC